GCAGGGGCTGAACAAGACAAGAGACAAGACTGAAAGTGATGACTTAGATATGGTAGAGAACCAAAGAAACACATATTACCCTACAATAAGCAGGATGAAATACCACTAGAACTTCTGGTTTCCAGTCTGACATAACAAGTTTAGGAATGAAGCCGGCCACATAGGACAGAGGTTAAGCCCAATGCATAGGGAGCCAAATTCCAAATGGCTGACCACAGTTCAATTCCCAATCCTGGTGGCTTGTAAAACATAACAGGCACATGTGCATGCCCCATAATCTGGGGCTGGCTGAAAGCTGAGAGTGAATCGTGGCATTTGGATTCTATTGGTGATGCTGTCTTGTCTTCTCTCTCATGGAAGAAATAAATACTTTTTAAAAATCCAGGGGCATGGGGCTGGCAGGTGGCGTAGTGGTTAAGGGTGCTGGACTCCTACATGGTTGACCACAGTTCGAGATCTGGACCTGTTGGCTTGCTTTCTCACTCTCTCTCTTTATCTCTGTCTCTCTCTGGTCAAATTTTTAAAAATAAATAAAGTTAAATAAAGATAATTATTAAAAAAAAAAAATCCAGGGGCACTTGGGACCAGCAGGTGGTGTGGTAGTTAAGGTACTGGACTCCCAATGGCTGACCATAGTTCGAGTCCAGGATTCAGTGGCTTGAAACTCACGCTAGGCATGTGTGTGTGTGTGTACCCAAAATACTGAGAGGAGAATGGAAAGGAAGGGAATATAGCATGGCCATTCCTCTAACATCCCAGGGGATGATTCCTCACTTTCCCTCTCTCAGTCTCACATGCCCTATGGTAAAAACATAAAAAAAAATAAAATAAACAATAAAAATAATCCAAGGGGACTCAACATGGGGGGTTGGGGAAGGAGGACATAGTTGTTTTGAGTTTTACCTCTAGATGGTAAGGATGATAGAGCTCTAACATCCTTATAATGAATACTAGAGAAATATCCCTTCATGCTGACAGCAGAGAAAAAGGAACAGAAACCATGTTTTAAATACACTAAAGCATTCTACCTTTTTTTTTTTTTTTTTTTAAGATTTTTGCAACAGAGTGTGTGTGCTCACTGGAAAGAGACAGAGAGAGACAGTGAGAGGGAAAGTAAAAAGTCATCCCCCGAGGGGGATGGTCACATTGCAATCCCTTCTCTATTCTCCTCCTGGGATTTTGGGCATGCATGCACATGCACCAGATGTGATTTTCAAATTGCCAGGTCTGGAACTTGAACTGTGTTCGGCCATGTGGGAATCCAACACCTTTATCACTATGCCACCTGCTGGCGCCTTGACAAACTAGTTCTAAAGCTTATATAGAAAGGCAAAAGACCTAGAATAGCCAACACAATAAGGGAGGAGGACAAAGTCAGAGAACTGGCCATACCCAACTTAAAGACTTTATAAAGTAACAGTAATCAAGATAGTGTGGTATTGGCAAAAGAATGGACAAACAGACCAATGAAAGAGAACAGAGCCCAGAAACAGATTCACACAGATCAACTGATCTTTGACAAACAAGTAATGGCAATACAACAGCAAAGATAATCTTTTCAACAAATGGTCCTGGAACAACTAGATATCTACATGCAAAAAAGAAAAAATGAATCTAAACCCTGATCTTCTATCCTTCACAAAAATTAAGTTAAAATGGATCATAAACCTAAAAGCAAAATGCAAAACTACAATACTCCCAGACAGAGGTCAGTAGGTGGTGTCGTGGTTAAATGTGCTATGGCCCACCACGATTCGAGTTCCGGACCTGGTGGCTTGCTTTCTCACTTTCCCTTTTTCTCGCTCTCTGGTCAAATTTTTAAAAATAATAAAAACAAGGGGCCAACAGCTGGCATAATGACTATGTTGCTGGACTCTCATGTAGTTGACCATGGTTCAAGTCCCAGACCCGGTAGTTTAAACTCACACCGGGCGTGTGTGCATGCGTGCCCAAGATCCCAAGAGGAGAATGAAGGAGAAGGGATTGCAGCGTGACCATACCCTCGGGGGGGGGGTGATTTCTCACTTTCTGTCTCTCTGTCTTTCTGGCGGGCATATGCGCCCTATAGCAAAAATCTCTCCAAAATAATAATAAATAAATACATCTCAATTTCACAGTGCTCATAAGGGTCTGGCCTTAGCACAAATAGAAATGCTTAAGCCTGAAATTACACATTCAAGTCCCAGACCTGGTGGCTTGCTTTCTCACTTTCCCTCTCTCTGTGTCTCTCTCTGGTCAAATTAAAATAAATGAATTAGTAAATAAAATTTAATTTAAAAAAACATCAAAAACATGCATGAGCCATGAAATAATGGATAAGCTACACCTCATTAAAAATTAAAACTTTTGAAGAACCAGCAGATGGCATAATGGTTATATTATTGGACTCCCACATGGCCAACTGCAGGTTGAGTTCCAGACCCTGCGGTTTGAAACTCATGCTGGGCACATGTGCGTGCTGCCCCAAATCCCAAGAAGAGAATGGAGGAGAAGGGACAGTGGTGTCACCATCCCCCGTAGGAGGTGATTTCTCACTTTCCCTCTTTCTGTCTCTCCAGCGAGTGTGCATGCCTAATAGCAAAAATATCTCTTAAAAAAAAATGATTTTAGGATACAGAAAGGCAATACAGTCTGAAGTTTAATGGCAGGGGCTCTAGAGCTTGGGCTCTGCCACCTACTACCATCTATCAGCTGTGTGATTCTGGGCAAAATAAGCCACCTCTCTGATTCTGGCTTTCTTCATCTTTATCAATGAAGCATTGACTGTATAGATGACTAACAATATTATAATTTTTTTTTTTTGTTAAAAAGAGATACTGTGGGCTGGCAGGTGGCATGATGGTTAAGGGTGCTGGACTCCTATACGGCCAACCACAGTTCGAGTCCCAGACCTAGTGGCTTGCATTCTCACTTTTCCTCTCTTTCTCTCTCTCTTTGTCCCTCTCTGGTCAAACTAAAATAAATGAATGAATAAATAAATAAGGCTACATGAAATTATTTTTTTAAAAAGGGAGAAATACTGCTTGTGACTTGAATAGAAAAGTAACAGGAAGAAAACATTGGGTTATCAGAAAAGTAATGACACTGGGAACAGTAGATGGTGTAGTGCTGGACTCCCAGCACTAGACTCCCACATAGTTGATCATGGTTCAAGTCTGGGACCCAGCAGCTTAAACTCATGCCAGGCATGTATGCTTGCATGCCCAAAATCCCAAGAGGGGAATGTAGAAGAATGAATTGCATCATGGTCATCCATCCCCCCACCCCCAGGGGGTGATTTCTCGCTTTCTGTCTGTCTCTCTGAGAGTGCACACACCCTATAGCAAAAATCTCTCTCAAAAATAAATAAATAAAAAGATAAGTCAAGATGTATTTTTCTGTTTTTCTATGCACCAATACATCAGAACTTTTCCAACAACTCAATAGTTGCAAAAGACTTAACTGATAAAATACTGTTATAAACAAATTAGAAAGAAAGAAAGAAAGAAAAAAACTCTTGAAACTCGACAGTAAGAAAACCCAATTAAAAATTGATGGGGGAGGGACCAGCAGATGGCACAATGGTTAAGTTGCTGAACTCCCATGTAGTGGACAGTGGTTTGAGTCCCAGATCTGGTGACTTAAAACTCATGCAGGGTGCATGCACGTGTGTACCCGAGATCCCGAGAGGAGAATGGAGAAGGGATTGTGGCATGGTCATACCCACTGAGGGATGATTTCTGGCTTTGTGGCTCTCTATCTCTCTGGCAAGCACAAGTGTCCTATAGCAAAAATCTCTCTTTAAAAAAAAAATGGTGGGGAGGATGATATGTGGCCCAGTGGTTAAGGGCCAACTATACAGTTCAAATTCTGGCCCTAACAACCTGAAAAACACATAGGGGACATGTACACGCATGCCCAAAATCCCAACAGGATGAAGAAATGTAGAAGTGATTATAGCGTAACCATGTCTCCCTCTGTCTGTCCTAGTGAACACACAAGTCCTGGGGGGTGGGGGGGAGGCCAAAGACCTGAATAGATATCTCATCAAAGAAGATGCACAGATTGCAAGAAGCATTTGAAAAGATGCTCAACATCATGACATTAGGAAATTTCAAGTTAAAACAAGGATACCATTATACACCTATTAAGTGGTCAAAATCCAGAACACTAACACCATCAAATATTGGCAAGAATGTAGAGCAACAGGACTCTCATTCACTGCTGGTGGGAATGCAAAATGGTACAGCCACTTTGGAACAAAATTTGGCAGTTTCTTATAAAACTAAATATAACTTTTAGCATATAACCAGTAATCCAGCTTTTTAATATTTATCCAAATGAATTGAAAAAACTTACACCCACACAAAAACCTGCACATGGATATTTATAGAAGCTTTATTTTATTCTTTTTTTTTTTTTTTTAACATTCTATTACCTAACCCTCATTCCCTGAACATCATCACAACATTCTAAATGTAGTTTCCCATCTAGGATAAACTACATAGTGACTTAATCAATCATGTTATCATCAATAATATGCCATTTCTACTTACATACAATGTATACATACATGTATGTTTTTTATCCTATCTTTGACCCTCTGCCCTTTCCCCCTCTCCCATTACACTATCTCTGCTATAAACAGTTGTCTTCCAGGGGAACCAATGAAAATGTGATACCTGCAAGTAAAGGGAGAAGGGCCACAAGTTTAAAGTTTTCAACAATAGGGATCATAGATTCCATTCAATGTTGGATCAAGGGTGGGTCTCTTGCGGATCCGCCATTGTAGGAATGGTGCCGTGGGGGTCTACAGCGTGAGCTATCCTCGGGTATCTGGCTTCCTCAAGAATGGCAGAGTAGTTCTTGTTCTTCCCTGCGGTAATGCAGGGCTGATAACCATCATCTTCTCACTGTCCATAGGCAGAGAAGTTCTCGGGCATCTGGCTTCCTCAAGAATGGCAGAGTAGTTCCTATTCTTCCCTGAGGCAATGCAGGGCTGGTAACCATCATCTTCTCACTGTCCATAGGCAGAGAAGTTCTCAGGCATCTGGCTTCCTCAAGAATGGCAAAGTAGTTCCGCGCTCGCTCGGCGCGCAGGGTCCCCGGGGCTGGCGGGAGACCCCTGGCAGCTTTATTCATAATCACCAAAGTGCAGAAGCAACCCAGATGTCCTTAAGTGGGTAAATGGATAAAATGTGGTATATCCAGACAATGGAATATTATTCAGCGACAAAAAGAAGTGAACCATTGGGACCAGCAGGTGGCATGGCGGTTAAGGGCGTGCTGGGTTTCCACATGGCGAACCACAGTTCAGGTCCCGGACCTGGCAGCTTGCTTTCTCACTTTCTCTCTCTCTCTCTCCCCGTCCCTCTCAGG